GTACGAGCGTGCCTAGAGATTATAAAAGCACATCCCGACAAAATCCATGTCCATATTAAGGTTAAAATAAAAAGCGCCGTGGTATTTAATAATAACTAATTTATTGTATTTTACCTATAAACTTACAACTAACGCGGACCAGCCAGGACCATGGATCTAATATCGGTAAATCTCTTACAGCAAACGGCACCGCAATTTGCGTCCGATGCGCACATTTTTGCATTCTATTTGGGAGCCTTGGAGGTACAGCACACAATACTTTGACCAATCTTTTAACTACATTTCCATATTTATGCTCAACAATATGTCATCATATGATATTGGGTTCTGATCTGGGCCGCGTTAATTAAATCAAACCCATATACAATACTGATAACAAAATAACTTGGAACCAATGAACATCTGTTTTATCCGTGTTTATAAAACCACAAAACATGTTGTAAGTTTCATTCATTGTAGCCGCGCACTGTAATCAAATAAATTACGTATATTAAAATTGTCTAAATCTAATTATCAATGGATAACTATCCCTCGTCGAATCTTGAATTTAATGTCGCCGCTAGGGGAAAAGACAATATGGACATTTTGTACTATAATTTGTGATGGTGATATGTACACTGGATTGTAGCATTGTAGATTGTGTCTCATCATAAACTGTTGAAATGCGCATGCGTATATAATCACTAGTACGTACTATTAATTCAAATTGCATTGACCGTTTGGTGACATTCGCGTAACCCGTCATTTCATTTCATGTAACGTATACTTATTTCGTGTACGACCAACTAAACGACGTTTTAGTTTATAAGAAGTCGTAATCCATTGACAGTATATTGAGCCACAACATGAGATAACATGTTAGATTAGGCATGCAAACGACAGATGGGAAGTACATTGTAGGTTGACCAAATCTCCATAGTTCATTTTATTTCATGCGATTATCACAAATATTTACATGTTATGTAACATATCACTATGTATTTACTCATTTTGAAGTATAACAAATATGAACAAAATTCTGGCGACAAGCGCAGCATAAATACCGCGATCCCATCGTGAGATATGAAGTCCCCATCGAGAATTTCATTTCATTATTTTATATTAGTTGGATATGTTTTAATAAAAGGGAGGTGCAATCGATAAATTGGTAAAATGATACCATTCTTCCGATTAATCGTTTGTTTATTATCCCATTCGAAAAATTAATTCAAAATGAAAACGATAAAACTGATTTATAGTAAATATAAAAATGAAAATCATTCTGAAAATTTGAATACATTCAATCCTGTACACATGAGAAATAGAATCTATTGTGTTGATGATGTCATTTAATTTCCGAATATTTTCAACAAAACGTTGCTGCTGAATTGGGCCTCATCGCCGTAGTCATCAATAGACTCATAACCCTCATATTTTGAGAATATTCGCACATTTTCTTTTTAATTCTACTAAATAATTAATTATTCCGGCGACCATGTACAATATTTTGCTCGTTAATGTCAAAAATAATGCATCGTCATAGTAACGGCCAATTTTACTATTAACTGGAGCACAATATACGGGTATCTGTTAGTATTTTCGAAACATGGGGCTTATTTTTATAATCTTTCGACCAATGACCCGGAGGGATGCACAAATGCGGGTTTCGAGACGTTTCAGACGGTGCTATGAGCTCAGGTAACTAAAACCAAGGGCAAATTAACATATTTTTTATAAACACCCATCCAAGTCAACAATCCATGTTGTAATCTAACCTATAAGATTACCCCTTAATTTAATAACCTTTTAATAGATAAAATACTACTTGTCATGTTTTTACATATATTTAGTACATTGTAGCAGTGACAATATTTAGTGTAAAAAATATACTACAATTAATTGTTTTAGTATTAAGTCAACAGTATGTGGAGTTTTTTGGGTCACTGTCATTTTTTTGTAATTCTTCTAAACACCAAAATCTACCTCGTAAGACACTGTATATCTTTTTTTCACCATCTGTCATCGAGCAACGTTTTAATATGTTGAGATATGTCCTTGGAAAAGAAAACAAAATATGTTATTTTCACTGTATTTTATTGATATACCCTCATATTTTAAAATTAATTTGCTTCTTCCTCGTAATATGATATATCAAATACGTCAAACTAAAAAAATGTGAAATGTAGCGTTCTAAATTTGTTCAATATTGAATGATATGGGTGTTTATGCTTATTACAACTGCCAACATTTGTCTCTGTTTGTTTCTATTTTTGCGGAAAATAAAAAGTTTTAGATCTCCGATTTTATTATATTAAATGTCTTGTCATCAGTTAGTTTGACATCGTCGCCTTGGTGATTCATTGACCATAAAGTAGCGTGTTTCCGGGATTGATTTATTATATCATCCGCCGCTGTACGGTCAGTTTATTTTATCTTGTTTTTGTGAAACATTTAATCAAAAGCCGCGTCACATTCGTCGCGTGGCAAATGTTCGAATTTCGCGTAAACAGCCTATGTTTTCACATAGGATGCATGGGACCCATGTCGATCAGGGCGCGGAGCGACGACTGTGGGGATTTAATATTCGTCTAAGTTTATACTATACCATTCTATCGTTTCCTTCGTGGTGTTAACTCGTACACCGTAATAACTTATCCCGGGTTTCACTTTTTTATAACAATGTGCGAAGTATTCTCCAGTTAAGACTCCTCAGATGAAAAACAACCAGCGTATTATAAAAACACCCTGCAATTTACAAAATGGTACGTTTTACTATAATTAGAAAAAAAAAAACAGTCGCCGGTTGTATTGTTGATGGGCTGCATTTACCCTGTAATGTGTACATGCATTTAAAGTAGGTGTTTTTACAGTAAAAACCCAACATTTGAACAAAAATTGGTATGAACTATGAACAAGGACTACAAACCGTGTATCTGTGTGGATGTTTTCCGGGCTAGGAAAAACTGTTGTTGTTTTTTTACCTTTTTTTTTTAAATTTCAAGGAATCAAACACTTCTTGAACACACCTTAACCCTAATACATTTTTCGAATGATAAAAACACCACAAGAAATAAAGAAATAAACCGAGTCTGAGTGATGACGTGTTTTTTTTTGTGTTTTTTTTCATGTATAGACTATAACTTGAATATAAAATGCTATATTTTAGCCCCTATATGGTAATTTTAAATGACCTATTTTAATTAGCATGCGTGTAGTACTGGCGCAGAAGTAAAAACAGTTTTTCCCTCTGACCTGGGTGCCTGCTTTATCGACGTACGCAACTGAAAACTCTCGCAAATGTTCGTTCGCACGTGTTAGTGTCTGCGCTTAAAATAATTCACTCTGTGGGTAGAAAAGTGTACACAGCGAGTCTCCGTTCATTTCTATCCCGAGCCTGTATCTCCGTGCATCGTAAGTTTGATAATCCTTCCAACCTAAATTTTAACTCAAAATAACTTTAATATTTTACTCCTTTAAATATGTTTATTAGATGACACAGCGAGTGTTGCTTCTTCGCCCACGGAAGTGCGCACTTGTTCTGTGTCGACATGAATGCACTGCTGTGATGAATTATCCTTACTAGAGCAAAGTAAACAAATATTCATTCGAATTGAGAAAAAAACAAGAAGGCAATTTATTCGAGAATAAATTTGTAATCGAAAAAAGTAAGACGCCCATCGAATACTGAACCCCACGTGTTCGTCTGATTTGAAATCAATATCTAACTCAATTTTCATTTTGGTGTTCGACAGTGCGAAGATGAACAACTCTGACGATATCAATCTTCCAAGAGGATCCTACAGTACGTGTGAAAATCCCGCAGAATTCGGTCCTGACATCAGAGGTAGGTTTTTTTTTTATCAACACTAATCTGCCCTGTTATATCCCGAGCGCCACGTCCCCGGCTATGTGTTCCGTTCACCAAAATTTGCGAACGATGTCGAAGTGCAGTTTTTTGTCGGAAACATGTCTGGAATTCAAACTTTATCAGTTACAATATTTTTTTTGAAATTAATGAGGTCATATGGTATATTTACATTCATTTTGAACAATTCCAGTGTTTAGATAGTCGTTATAGGCAACCAGACACGCGATTCGACCAATAGTGTATATTAGGATATTTATGACCGGCGGTAGTATATCATCATACTTATGTCTCGATGTAGAAAACTACTACAATACAGGGTGGGGGCGTGGGCATATTTGTGTACAACCCCGAACTCAAAACTTGTAAACTGTTCTAGGAAACTTTGTCTGTAAAAAAATTAACCCCAAACCTATTGTTATTGAGGAGGTCAAACTTTTGGTCATAATGACGGCAATCGCCACCATGTCCGATAATGTTAGTTTGTTCCAATGTTTGGCCAAAAAATAAAAATTTCGTGTTTTAGTTGTTTTTTTTAAATATGATCCATATTTATCCATATCTTAGAGTATTTTCGGGAAAACGTATGATATATGCTCAGGCTTACTGCCAAGCCATTATTACACACACACCATTACTGTAACATGGGATTTGATAGCGCGTATCAAATTCTTGTTCTCAATATTCACGTAATTTCTTGTTTGTTTCGTTCACAGTTGAAGTTGTTGTACGGAGTGAGGTAAGATATTTATATATATATATATATATATATAAATGATATTAGTGAGAAAAAATGCCATGATGATGTGTTAAGTCAGCGCGTGTTGTCCGATACCTCTCCAATAACTTGAAAATATCGCCTGACACCGAACGTACGATTTTAGACATTTCAGTCTTTTTTCTTCCTCAATTATTTACAAAAGAATAAAACTAAAATTCTAACAAAATACGTGGAAAATAAGTAAAAATTGTTCATTCGTGCCCATGGGGGTAAGTTTTACAAAAACCCTTATCATCTCCGCCACTATGTCGTAACGAGATTTACGGCGAATGCGTTGACACGGACACGCAGTGCAGTCTGGGAGATTGTTTATTGGCCAGTATCAGTGTCAAAATAACAGTCGCGTCACCCAAAACAGTTGCACTATCCTTATATGATTTGTAAATAAATTAAAGCGCTGAGTCGGACGTGTATCGCGTGACAATTGTCTTTAACGACAACATGCGAACAAAAAGTCATCACCAAGCAGTACGGTGACGTAGGCGCGGAACAATACAGTCATTCTTCCCAGTGAGAGAGCTGGAATAATCTCGCGTGATTCGGCCTTTTACTACCTAAAACCCAATTAACCTATCCACATAATAAAACACGCTGCTCCGTGAAACTGATCATTTTTATTTTCTCATTTTAACATGGACTGACAATACGGGCGAATGTAATTATATAGTTTTTTTTTTATCAATTAGAATTTCGAATTCTCTATGCCTGTGAGTTATCACTAAATACTGGTACGTCAACCGTTATGATTTCTGACACCCCCCCCCCCCCCGTCACGGCGACGGGAGGGCGTCCCACATTCGATGTATCTCAGTCGGGCGTATGCGAAACAATTCAGAAACGTATTGACTTGTTTGAAATAAAAAAAAAAATAGGCGATCATTTTTAACAGAAAACACCGCTATCTGAAATCGTCTGATGTTTTCCCCGCTTTTACACTTTTGACTTCAGTAATATTGCATCTAAGCTGCCTCTGTATATCAAATAACGCTGACGTAGTTCGGAGCTGACACAAAGATTTGCTAATTTTGCATTTTCACCATTTTTGGCGGCAGTCTGTGAGTTGTCGTGTACTAGTATTATGTTTAAATTACAATCTACAAACATTGATGTGTCGATGTTTTTGTCAAAATTTGTCTAGAAATCGGTATGGAGACATCCTCATATACAAATGTCTACTGTATTTAGTATTTATCAAAATTTGTCTAGAAATCGGTATGGAGACATCCTCATATACAAATGTCTACTGTATTTAGTATTTATCAAAATTTGTCTAGAAATCGGTATGGAGACATCCTCATATACAAATGTCTACTGTATTTAGTATTTATCAAAATTTGTCTAGAAATGCGTATTTCAAGTTACCGTTCATTTTATCCGTATTGGTATTTTGTACAATTTCTCAATATAAATATATTATGAAATACTGTCCAGATATATGTGCTCGATTTTTTTCCGCACTCTTGATATTTTGAATAAATTTCAATATAATTATTTTAAGAAATACCCCTGTCCGGATGTCTGAAAATATATTGCAATGGAAATTTGTATTTATTTCCGTTAAACATTAATATGTTGGTATTGCCAATTCTGTACTATATGAACGGTTATTTCAGCAGTGAGTCCACTTATTACCGTTATCCAGTGACTACGCAGTTCTTTCCTAGGTTGTGTTGACCGGTAACTGTTTCTTGTATTATTGTATGTACCGAGTCTATAATTCTGTGCATTTTCCGAGGTTTTTATATGCTCAGAAATTGTAAGTATCTGGGATATCTTGAACAAAAATCCTGTAAAAGGCAAGTTATATTTCGTTTCGTGTTTAGGAGTCGTGAAATAACACGGTCCTCTGTCACTATAAAGTGGCCGTGGCAATACAGACAATTTTCGGGTGTAGTAATGTGAAGTTTACAATTTTCGAACAGTTTGTTTGTAACTTGATAGACATGAGCCTAGTGATCTTAAATGCCAGTTGTGTACCAACATGTTACTAAGTACGACCTAAAATCAAACTCGAAATTGGGGGCCAGCCTCCCGTCATTATCAGTCATAGGAAACAGGAGTTGACAAGCGCATGTGTTCTTAGTCATCATGTAGTTTCTGTGTGGTACTGGGATGGGAAACAGTGTGCGAAATTGCACAGAGTGAGTTGTCAATCAGGTATTATATAATTTTGCAGGTCGATCCAGTTCGAGGTATGTCCATGGACAACACAGAACTACAGAAATGTATGAAGGTACGTAATTGGATATGTCTTTATAGCTTAAAGGGCGGTAGCCGTCTTGCCACGCATGCGCGAGATATATGGGTCCTTATAAACAAAGATTGCGACTTTGACTGTTGCGCAGATCAATGAGTACGAACTGAGACGTTACCAAGCTTTAATTAGGTATTTTTTAGGTGATTGGAAGATATGTCGCACATGTGCAGCGCGATGACCACCGCCCTTTAATTATAACATTGCGTATTTTTGTAATATTTATTTCGATTGGAATTTATCATTCCGGTTTTGTCCAGTTTGTCGTTGGTTGGTCTCGTGATGGGCCAAGCGACGCTCACCTAAACGGGAAAGAGTTCGTGATATCGAAGTGTGGTCAGCATTCAAGACGCAACGTGTATTCAAGTATATGAGGGAGTTTACAGAATGATGACGCAACTTTTGGGATATCGGGGAGACAGGCTTGTTGTTTGCCATCATATTGTGTTTTTCTCTTCCAAATAGAAAGCGTTCCTCGAACCACAGGAAAAAACTGTTCACGGTGACACGTCACAACCATACTGTGACGTGGTGGTGAGTACACTGGAAAACGTAGCCATCTTTATATGGCAAAGAATGGAGCCACTAATGCCGAAAGGAACACTATACGAAGTCACCGTATGTGATGCAAAGAACGTTGTCTGCTACAGAGGATGACGTCACCAAGTATATTCTGTATATATATATACCAGTTGTATATAGAAGATTCAACCCGCGTATGTCGAGGTGTTTATAAGAGATAAAGCCCTCGTATGATGAGATGTTTATAAAAGATATACTAGTAACCCGCGTATGTCGAGAGGTGTTTATAGAAACGGATATAGCCCGCTTATGTCGAGGCGTTTATAGAAAGAAAAAAGCATCATGATATTTTGTGCTCGTTTTTATAATGTATTTTTTGTTGGCTCGCTACTGTGGGGTGTTTAATACTCACGTGAATTTACCTAAAACTCGAATTTATTAATTATTTATAAATTGAACACTCTCTAATTGAAACAACGCACACAAACTATGAGGATCAGAGAGAGATCCAAACACCGCCCTCGGTGTCAGAATTAACAGATAATCGCCATAGACGAGGAAAGTTGAAAACGAACTTCTGATAAACGAGGCTGTATTTTCTTCCAGGATGTCACGCCCATCATTCATAATATAATTAAAATAGTTTTCAAATGACGCGAGATGTCATGGTGACCAGCGGGACAATACTGGGCACACGTTGGAGACAAATAATAAAAGTCTGGCAACATTGAAACATTGACACCTTTGATACACTATAACGTATACACTAACTCATATGAATATAAATCGAGACTATATGTATTAAATTAAACTTGCTTTCAATATTTATATTTTGTATATGAAGTTTTATGTATTTATTTTTTTCCGCCTACCAATAGCGTCCAAAAATGCCACTTCCAAACAAGAACGTGGGTCGATGCCATTGCCCGGCACATATTCTTTATTTACGCTATAGAGCTGCACTATTCTTAGCTTTATGGTTCAAGCAACAATCACGACAGAGTTTGTAGAAAATACTAAATACTGCCAAATAATATACATTAGTAAGTCACCACATGTTTCGAGTCCTGGTTTCAACTGCACAGTCTCCATAGTATGCGGAGGCGGAGGCACTTTTGGTGAACATTACGTTATGATTTCTTTGATTTCTGGAAATGGCAAAAAGGGACCCCTTTTGCCCTTTTAAAACATTTTATAGTCCCTTTTGGGTGCCTCGCATACGCGTTGAGAAGTTTCCACTAGTGACCCCGGGGTCCCCCTATCCTGAACCCTATGACGGACCCCTGTGCTTCAAGTTTTACGGGACTGTGTCACTTTTTTTTTTAATAATGACAGAAGATTGGTCCTGGCGTTGGGTTTTCTTGATTTTTTTTTTCGTCACGTTTTAGCAGGTGCATCTCAACAAGAATGGAGAAGAACTATCAAAGTTTCCCGAATTTACCTGGGAGGTAGTTGACGCGCCCTCTTCGGCGTAGTCCAGCAGCCTAGTCCACTCACCGTAGAAGGCGCAGGTGCAAAACATAAGGCGCCATTGACACTCCGACAAAGTAGCTTATCTGACAGGGACAAACTGGAAATATTATTATAAGAAGAATGTCAAAATACAGCCCATCAAATCGGTGCCAATGTTCGAGGTATCATAATACCTGGGCTAGGGTGTTTGATTCCGCATAAATTATGATCATGAGACACACAACAAAATAATGAAAGTTCAACAAATTCCAAGACAATGCCAACCCAATTCAAAAACAATATAAAAATGTCAAGACAATGCCAACCTAATGCAAAGACAATATAAAAATGTCAAGATAATGCCAACCTAATAGAAAGACAATATAAAAATGTCAAGACAATGCCAACCTAATGCAAAGACAATATAAAAATGTCAAGACAATGCCAACCTAATGCAAAGACAATATAAAAATGTCAAGACAATGCCAACCTAATAGAAAGACAATATAAAAATGTCAAGACAATGCCAACCTAATGCAAAGACAATATAAAAATGTCAACTTAAGGATAATTTACAGAAGAAAACACTCAAATAAAGCAAATAATATTTTTGGCACTGATCTCACCCCATAGTATCACTACTAATACGGCTAGTTGTAATCATAATATAATCATCACTGAATTTTCAAGATGGCAAATATTCAAGCGTAATTTTCTTTGAAAAGTTAATCACAGGCAGGCTTTAAACCGCCATGCCTTCAAATTATGTTTCTCGTGAGGCATTGGTACAAGGGATCGTGGGGCTGCGGTTGTTGAGCCACATCCTGTGTTATACGTGTCGCATACACAACGTATACAAGATGCAGAGTTCTATATGTTCTTCGTGTAATTAGGTGTTCGTATTCAAGAGATTTTTCCACAGAAATGTTGAATTCGGCCGGATTTTGTTACCGATTGGCTTAATATCGTTTGGCTGTGAAAGATTGGTATTTTTTTCCCCCGATTTGTAGGAATCTGAAAAACAAGTTTCACAACTCGTTTCTTTAGTTTCAAGCCGGCCTCCATATAGTAAATAATGCCGCATTTATCTCATCACTTGTGCGCCAATTGTGTTAGCAACATCAAAGAGACGCATTACATCCGTATTTCAATAACAACCTTATTGCTGTTAGATTGTGGGATTTCCAAAATCATTTTCATGACTGACTACTCGCGTATTTGTTGGATGTGTTATTTATCCGTGATCTTTGTAGAGAACGAATTGCATGTAGTGACTCTTTGAGGAACCTCAATAAAACACACAAATACCAACATTACTATTTCAAAATATTTTATTACCGCTTCACACATTCACACGCATATACAGTAAATACCATTCAAAATATAGCACCTGTGTTAGCAACTGTAAGCACTTGGGGGGGGGGGGTTCGAGAAAAATAATACATTCATGACGCCTGTTTTACAGTTTTGTAAATTTAAAGTTATTCTAGTAGATGTGTACTTTATTAATACAAGTATAAAAGAAAACGTGGCTTACATTTGCTTACCAAGGTGCCATACTTTCCTACAGCCAAACATATCTACACTGAATAAAAAAAAAGCGACCTCAGTGGCAAGCAAGTACTTATTAGTCAGTTCTGCCATAGTGACTGTAAACTATATCATGCATCTATTTTGAAATTCAAACAAACTGACATTTAAAAATTTCTATTTCAGATTTGAATGCTGAATAAATTCAGTTAAATTGCAATTTTGTTTTAAAAAAAGGAGAACATTTATTGAAGACTACAGTTATTTGTATAAACTGAAGGTTTTTATAAAGAGTAAATTAACACGGGCAGTCAACATCTACGACATCAAAAAAAAAGACCTTAAAACATCTTTTGCTGTCGTGGATACCTTAAGAGTAAGATAATTGTTACCGTGACCACTAGTTGACATGGTTACATAAAAAAAATGAGAGCACTCTTGTTTTTGTGATGCGGTTTTACATTCGAACACGCTACTACTTGCACGTTAACGAGCCCATAGGTTGCTGAAGCAAGATCTTACAATCAGATGTCATCTCATTTTTATGTACCCACCCCTTGTAATTTACCCATGCTGAATTAAGATGCAGTACAATTCACCTAAAATAGTGAACCTATCGTTATATGCTATGTTGAAAACCAATACAGAATAATCAAAATGAAATTGTAACACTACATGGAAATATCAATGAAAAAGAAAGCAATTTGTGTACAACTAGTGGTCAAGCAGTTTAAAAAACATCAAAAAAGAAAACACAAAAAATTTGAGAAAGATAACGCATGTTTAATCTGTTGCAACAAGGTATCTTCCTGGTTAATAGAAATCGTGTGCTATGATCAAAAAAGGTGACATTAAGTTTAAAGTCTGTATTCCAAGTTTTTTTATAACAGTTGAAATTTTTCGTAAACAAACTATGTACTTATACTTTTATGCAGCATGTGACTTTTGTTTAGGCATTGACAACTTTTATATTGGTGCATATTATTTGACAGTGCAAGGCAGTAAACTGATTATCTTCAGATAATTATTTTATGCTTGAAACACTAAATTATCTTTTGTTTCTGAAATCCAACTGATTATCAACAACCTCTGAATTACATTTATGATTACAAAAATATTGAGATATTAAAAATATAAAAACCACCAAAGTTTACCTTGTAGTCCCTGACAAATTCCCTGGTATGAAAATGAGTGCATGGTGAAGTTATCAGCATTAAATGAATAAATTTGATAAAGGAATAAATCAACTCAATCTGACAGAGGTCCTACTTATAAAATAACAAAACAGTCTTGCTGGTGGTATTTCAAAACGATGTCAGACATTTTTGTTTTATTGCCAACAGGGAAGCTAAAATCCCGAGAAGATAGGAAGTTCAGGAATTACTTAAAACAAAGAAAACAAGAGATTTTTTTTAAATTTTTTTTTCAAGCATGTAAAGTTGTTTTTATAGATCCAATCAAATTTTAGAGTAGTTAGTACAATGCCTATGTCTCCAAACAAAGAAATGAACAGAACAAAACATTACAAGACATTGTAGAATGAGTGACAAATTTCTGTGAATTTGTAGGAAATCGGTGAAAATCGCAACATTTCATAGCAGTGCAAGTTTTAGGACAGAGTAAATTACTGACAGAAAAAAACACGACTGACAAGAAAAATAGGTATCGGGTATGTATTTTTTTTTTTAAGTTACTGGCCGTTATGAATTGGAAACAAAAAGAGAATATATTTAAATTATGACATTACCTAGATTAAATTGTCAAAAGTTCCAAAGTATATAGTATCATTACTGATATTTCATATATAGCACATGGTACAAGTGAAGACTGATTACATTGTCATGACAACGGCAGGCAAAGTGCTCAAAACATACATGATATTATAATCCCTGAATTCTATGCAATTCTAGAAAATGAACTGAGATTTTATTTTAGCAGTAACCAAAAAGGAAAACGGATCTTTTATTGGATATCAAATTGTGGCTCTCGTATCTGGAGGTAAAAAAACAAACTGAAAAAACACACAAACTAAATACAAAATTGTATGGCCTTTGATATCAAATAAGATAACTTGCAAGATATCTGGTTCAGAAATCTTCAGCAAATTGTAGAGAATTTTGATAGATTATAAACAATACATACTGGTGTTGCCTAGTAGACATGTTTGGTTAGCACTCATAGCAGGAAATAAAACATTATTGTATGTCATAATTTATGCTTGTCCAAGGTAGTAGTGATTTAAAAAATTGGTCAGGATCTGATAAGCCCGAGCATGGAAGTTTTCACCATGTTCTGAGTTCTATGATTCGTGATTTTTTGCCTAAAAGTATTTTTACCGTG